TCTCTGTCTCTCCTCTGTGTATATCCGCCTTTCCAATGAAAAAATAATAAAAATAAATCTTTAAAAAAAAAAAACATAGAGTATGGATACCTCACACTGGAAACTTCACATCTGTCCCAAAGACTTATTATCTAACGACATTCCCAGCATACGCATGCATCACTCCATGCTGGAGGGCGAACATCCAACCAAATCACGTTAAACTGGTCACGAGAAAGAAAAGTTGGCCATCATTGAAAAATAAAACATGTAGGTTTCCAGCAACTGCAAACTGTTGCAAATTCAAGACGTGGCTGATGCTGCACTGTCAGAGCCCAGTTTCCAAGACCTGCAGGAGCCCCAATTGCCTGAGCACCCAGGCTCAGTGGGTGCCAGGAGCACTCCAAGCTGAGCAGGGGAGGAGGCCACCTCCCGGTGGGTGGAGCAGAGAATAATCATCGCAGGACTCCAGCAGGGCGCTCACAGAACACCAATCACACTCTAGCAACTACTCATACTTTCACCATGAAAGTCTGTGCAATTTTAAGTCTCCCGTCTGTGAGAACTGATAAAAGGACTCAGAGAAGGATCTTAATCAGATCACTCTCCCTCAGAAGTCTTCGGAGCATAGATTATGCCGACAGAATCCCAATTTGAAAAGACAAATCTGATTCCATAACTCCCTAGTAGGAAATCCTGCAGTGGTATTTTACCACCTTTATGATAAAAACCCTTTGCTTTGTTTGCCTGGTCACATCCTGTGTGATCTGGCTCTTGCCCACCTTTCAGTGTTCGAGCCCCACCTCCACCATGCCTTCCACTAAGCAGTTTCCTGGGCACTCCCTGTCCTTGCTGTCCTCCCCAGATCTATCCATACAGTGTCTTCCAAGACCTCCTGCTCTACAAAATCCTCTGTGGACCCATATCCAGGGCCCCATCTCTGTGCTCCCAAGGCATGCGGTGATAAACTCGGCCACAGTGCTCACTTCACTGTATCAAGACCACCTGGTCTGGTATTTGCATTGCACTCAATGTTTTAACTCACCAAACTTGGACCTTAAAACATCTCCAATTCAAGCTCATAGAACAGCTGTCTTGAGGCTATAGTGCCCCAAAATCCCAGCTGGAGTTTCAGTATTCCCATTAATTGCTTTGAAAAGAAGCCCTGAGGAGAATGGGCGATATGGTGGCTAAGATAGAACCTGCTTTTCATATGTGTGCTTGTGTGAAGCTGCCTCCCCAAACACACTAAAGGGAAGCTTACAGCTGGGAAAAGGGAAACAGGCTTGGGGATAGCAGAAATGTGTTTACAAAAGAACGCTCTATGAATATACTAACACCTGGCTGGCTTTCTTCTCTGTGGCATGGCAGTAGTGTTCTCCAGCCTAGCACCAAGCAGCCTTCCTGCTTTCCTGGGCTAACATACTGTCGCATCATTTCTTTGTCAAAGGGCTGGGAGCTTCTTGCGGAGTATCAGGTACTACGACTGTAATTGATTATGTACTTGCAATCAACTCACTAAGGTCCACATCCACTCAATGGCCTGCACACACATCCCAGCAGCCATGTTCTGGTAGTCGTGGCTTGCAGAAGCAGACCCCTCCCTTTTCTATTAACCAGAACATAATATCCATTCCAAATACACCTTCGAGAGCTCAATTGGACTTTTTGTTTTTAACTGTACTTGTAAAACCTAAGTCACCGCAATCTTTCCAGGGAGTTGAGAGTTAAGGGGACAGCATTTCATAAGCTACAACAAGGTATCGTGAACAATGCCACTGAATCTCTGGTCGGGCTGGAAGCCAAAAGTATGCACACCTCTCCTGCGCCCTGCTGGGTTTAGGGGTTTCAGTCAAGCTCAAAAAGTTGCCAACAGATTTCAAACAAGAATGTAAAATGATATGACATGCGCTTCTAAAGACCACAATAGATTCAAAGTAGTGAGCAGGTTGGGGGGAGGATAGAAGTTTGATAAGAATATCAAAGCCCTTGGCTGCTAACTGGGCAAATGACAACTCTAGGGCCCGGCGCGGTGGCGCAAGTGGTTAAAGGTCCTCGCCTTGCACGCCCGGGATCCCATATGGGCGCCGGTTCTAATCCCGGCAGCCCCACTTCCCTTCCAGCTCCCTGCCTGTGGCCTGGGAAAGCAGTTGAGGATGGCCCAAAGCTTTGGGAACCTGCACCCGCGTGGGAGACCCGGAAGAGGCTCCTGGCTTCGGATCGGCATAGTATCGGCCCGTTGCGCTCACTTGGGGAGTGAATCATCGGATGGAAGATCTTCCTCTCTGTCTCTCCTCTCTCTGTATATCTGCCTTTCCAATGAAAAAATAATAAAAATAAATCTTTAAAAAAAAAATAAATAAATAAATAAATAAGAAAAAAAAAAATGACAACTCTAGTCAACACTTGGACACAGATGTGGCAGGGCAGTGTATGAATCACAGACCGCTTCAGCAGAAGTATGGTTAGGACCTGGTGATTTGGAGGAAGGGAAAGGTGGACATTAACAGGTGGTTCCCCGGATTCTGGCTAGAAAAAATGAGCTAAAAATTGCAAATGCAAGAGGTCTGGAAAGGCATTATGGTAAAGAGACTACGAGTTAACATTTGGACATAGTAAGCTTGAGGTATACCCATGTAATACCCAGGGGTAATAGCCACCATTAAAGGCACAAAAAGTGTTACAGAGCATGGAGGACTTATGTAGAACAATGGGCACCCCTGGGGCTGGCTCACAGGAAACTCCTTCTCATTCCCCGCTCACGATGCCTACACGCCAAACCACTGCACCAGCTCACATGGGCACAACTCCATGAGGCGTTTACGGAACCAAACTCAACCAGGACACACACAGGTTGCTTCTGATATGACTCTCAGTAATGCAGAAACCAGTCTTGAGGTCAACAAAACCACCACCTCAATAGTGAAACGGTCTCAGCATCACAGTACAGCTTGAAGTAAAACAGGAAACCTGACATTTTCCTCAACACTAAGTACGTGACTTCTTGGTACTTGGTCCTGGGCCGTGACATATGCAACACTGGGAGAACCACCCTATTAGCAAAATTCCATATTGGAATCTCCCATAGAAAAAGCAGTTATCTGAAATGGTATTATATGCAAAGAAAGTCTCGCAAAAGAACCCAGAGAGTGGACTGCCTATGTTAACGAACAACGGCTCTCAGACAGCACCTCCTGCTATAAGCCAGCATGTCTCCTTCTGGACTGGAACTTGGTTTCTGATCATGACAGGACAAGTTTTCCGATTTCCCCATGAAAGCACAAATTGAAATGCCATTTGACAATCTGCTTTCTAATTAAAAGTTGAATCTTTTATAAAGAAAAAAAAATCACATTTACCTAAACAATTCCACATGGCAAAAAAAAAAGCACAAATACTCTGCCATCCTGGCTGGCAGAATCACTCACAACTACCTGAAGGAGAAGGGAGAGGAAGACCATTAGCTGCAGGTAGATTAAGCTGAACAAACCCCTGCGATTATCTTCTGGCCTACTCCTAGAGAAAGACAATGCAGCATTGCTGCAAACTTGCTCAACTTCCTGCACTTAAGCAAGTCCAACAAAACTGCTTGGACTGACAGAGAAGTCAGGAAAGCAGAAAAGATCGCTGTATTTTCAAGAAGGCTACTTGGGGAACGTCAGGGCCAAAGTGCATTTCTCTACAGAAAGGCAAGACTCTCCCCTCAGGACAGAAACACAAAGAGAAGGAAAAGCATACTGCCCTAGATCCCACGATGCCAACAGTTCATCTTATTTCCAAAGAGAAGGACCAAGACAAGAAAGATCGGTCCCATTGTTCAGGACCTTAAGCAAGATACCCAACTTCCCCAAATTTGTTTTCTGACTTTGAAAATGAGGATACCATTTGTCCCTGCCTGCTGCTCAGGATGAGTGGCAGAGAAACATCTGGTGACATGCAGAAAAGGACAAACTCACTACAAGTGACAGATAACTGCTGTTTACAGTGAGGTAGGAAGGGCGAGGACCAAGACAACTGATAAAATTAGTTGGGAACTTCTCTGGGACACTTAATGGATGTAGCGCAGTCTCAGAAGAGGAAACTGCTGATTCACTCATTTCAAGCAAAAAAGGCATGGTGCAGGGAGGTGGGTTGAGATGCAACTGTCCACTGTTTAAAGCAGCCTGGAGGGTCACAAAAAGGGGTCTGTCATTCAGCACACAAGAGGAGCCATGGTCATGTATGTAATTGTCCTTGAACGCCAGTTACAGGGAGGCAGGGCAAAGGCTGAGGCGCTGTGCTCCTAAGGCACCAGCTTCCTGTTCTGCCTGCCACCTCCCTTCCCTTCCAGCTTCTGGACAACTGCTCTTAACAAGCACCCAAATCGTCCATGACAATGAATAACCAGATACAGAAACTGTGCTATTAGTGCATTTCAACAACAGTTAAAAGACAAAAGGTAACTAGAGAAAATCAGCAATTCCTAACACACACTCACAGAATCTATTTAAGGATTTCTAGCCCAGGCCCCATGAGGGTGCACAGTGGAGGCACAGCGGGAATCTACACAGGAGCTGACCATCAAGGAGGGGAGGCTGATTACTCAGTCACCACATGTCCATACAACCCCTCCTGTGTCCCAGGCACAATACAGAGACACACCCCAAGACCTCCCCAGGGAAAACATCCCAAGAGGCAACCAGAATCAAGTGCGGGGTGCTGTGTGATAGGGGAAGGGGTCACCTAAAAGGAACTCCTAACCAGCAGGAGAGAAGAATTATGCTGCGGTTAGACAATCAACAGTCGTTAGGCAGGAGTAAAAGTCATGGGTATCTGGTAGAAGAAACTGCCACTGGCTGCAAGGATTTCCAAAAAGCTTTCCTTTCCAGGGAGGCGGCACCTGATGAAGGTCTTAAGGACAAACAGGAATTTGGCCAGGGCAAAAGGAAGGGTAAAATATTATAAACTAAGCCACACAAACATGAGGAACAGGAACAGCAATCCCTCCCCAATACACATGGCCCTTATCAAGGAATTTTTACCTTTTCTTCAAGTCCAAGAACTGCTGCTTCAGAGTTTCAGCAAGCCAACCTCCAGTTCAGGCACTTGAGCTATTCCTGTTGAGAGAAGAAGAGGCATCAGAGGCGTCTAAGGGGGCTACCCATGCACAGACCCCTTCTGTAGGACTTCCCCACAGCCCCTGCTGAGAGGCAGTGACTCTCTTCCCAGCCGACCGGCTGGAGGACAAACACCTGCCCCCAGTCAGCTGCCCTACTTGCCTGCCTCCCTCTCCTGTGAGAATCGGACATGCCAACTTGAGCAGGCAAGGCTGACTCCTGCTCCAAACACACAGACGGGTTGAGCGTGCAAGGCCAGAGTCAGAGGCGCCTTCCACCTCCAATGCCTGGTAGGCTGGCCAAGCTTTGCTCCTACGTTCCTGATACCAACAGCAAGCCTTCTGCTAACCTAAGCTTCCATTTCTGTTCCCTGTAGCTAAAATTCAGTGATGTAAAGATGAGAGATACAGGGCCACAAGTAAGAAAAACAGCAGAAATGGAGGGTGAAGAAATAGAGGATTTTGAAGGAAGAAAAAAAAAAAAGCCTTGAGGAAAACATAAGACAGGAGAAAGTGGGCTGGGTCTCTACACTATCGTCGCTTAGAGGAAAGCAGAAAAATGAGTGGCGCTCCAGAGAAGAGTCATGACCGATCGGTTCCTACAGTCCCAGCCACACACTGTGTTAAGACAGAGTCCCAGACATATGCATTATCCATAACCATGTAAAGTAAATAAGGATTTCACGGAAAATACAAAGATGAGACTCTGGAAAGTGTCTACAGTAAGCAGGGGTGACTGAGAAACGCTGCAACACCTGTCATTACTACAAGAAATAAGAAATGCAACAGTTCAAAGCCAGCTCCTAGTTTACAGCATAGTCTTTTCCTTCTTAATTTTTTTTGGGGGGGGGGGTAGATAGGTCTTCATAGCAAGCTTTTCATTTACCCCTTGTCTGTGAGGTTAATTAGTGCTAGTTCACTTAGTTGGACAGCTTCTGTTCTGTTCCTGGCTGGTTTACCTATGTGGCTCAAACGGACTGGAGTCAACATCAGACGACTCCACTCACAGGCTCTCGGGACAATGGCTGCTACTAGCTGTTTGTATTGCCTTTACAATCCACTTTAGCAAATATAAACATTGCTCTCTTGAGAGCATCCAAGATTTATGCCCAGCCTCTATCCTCCTGCTATCTTTTCTATTAGTTCTGGAGTTGAACAATCAGGAACTTGCCTACTGTGGTGCTTCAAGAACCTAATTGTTGCTATGCCTGTCCACCCGAGAACAGTGATTTTGGTCAAGTTCAAATATTAGGTCACACAATAGGGAAGGTTGGGCAGCAGGGCTGGCAGGAAGAAAGGGGTCATGAATGTCATGTTGATGAAGTTAGACTTTATTCCAGCAATAGAGGAATCAAAAATGGTTACGGTCTGCTCCTTGCTCTCTAAGACAAATTCCAAGCAAATACCACAGAAACTTAAAATTGGACCCCACAGGGAAAACACAACCCAAACAACAAAGACTGAAGCAGTCAGCTAGAAATGGGCAAGTCGCCATTAAACACCTAGCAAGCTCCTCTGCCTGCTGCTGCCAACTCCACAGCCGAAGTCACGGCTCCACAAGCTCGCCTGGGTGTCTGGCCTTCTTAGCAGCTCAGCACTCCAGAAGCCCCGGAAACATCAGTTAGCAAGGGGGACCTGTGTCAGCCCGCAGAGCGAGCCAGAGGCTCTCACCCAAAACCTGGCTCACACAATAGAGGCAGCAGGTGTTCGATCCCAGCCCTACTACTTCCCGTCTCTAAGGCCTCAGCTTCACCCAGAAAACAGCAACAAGAGACTAACCATTGGTACTAACAGGGTGGTCTGCAAGCCAGCTCTACTCATTAACTTTTTTTTTTCCTTTTTCTATTTATTTGAAAGAGTTACACAGAGAAACGGAGAGACACAGAGAGATCATGCATCTGCTACCACTCACTACCAAAAGCCAGGGCTGAACCAGGTCAGCAATTCTGGAGCCCCTATGTCATTCTATGCTTCCCCTGGGGGGTGCCAGGCTGAACTCACTCCAAGCCCGTAACAGCTGTAGCTCTGTCATCTCTGCCTCCGCCTTCAACTGCCTCCTCCACTGTGTGAGTTCTGCTGCTGCCTCTCTCACAGAACACTAGTGATGGCAAGATGCTTATTTAATCACACATCCACAAAGATAACTTCTCCAGTTAAGGTGGCATTTTCAGGTCCTGGGGATTGGAGCATAATTGTGAGGCACCACTAAGCCCAGACACCTGGTTTAGGTGGTGAATTCAGCGTGTCAAGGCACACACTGCACTGTATACTCCTGTAGGCTCACCATGATGGGAGCACATCCCATGTTTCCTAAAAGTCTGAACCACAGAGCAAACCAGATCATCTCTGACCTCTGGGTCCCTGTGAGCAGTTACACCCTGGGTCCTTGCTCTTCTACAGCCTAGGAGCCTGAGCTGGGCCAGGTCAGACTGCAGGGAGCATCCCCCAAGAAAGAAAAGCAGATGAGCAGATGGCGGGGTACAAGGGGCAACTGCCCCTTCCTCCTCCCTGCTCGCTCCCCTCACCCAGCTGTGACCGGGAAGTGACCAAGCTGATCTGTTGGCTGTTCAAATGGGCCTCCATATCCCATCAAGTTTGGAGACAGAAGCAAAACTGTTGTCCTATCAGACACCTTGCTTGGCTAGCACTGCCCTGTTGCTAACAACATACCCTCAGCCCCAACACCTCTTCTGTAATCTCAGAAGCACTCGGGAAGTTTCCAGGCTGCAAACGCAATGGAGAAAGCGTTTGGAGACTTGACAAAGCTGGGCTTCGTTTTCCATCAGAAGTTTTCTTTCCTTGCCAGAATATTCCTTGCTAGAGAAACCTTGTACAGAGTCCTTTCCTGTGTCACGTGTCCACCTTGGGAATGTTTCAAGTGGCACTCGATAGCAGGTATGGCTGCAGGAGTTTCATCATTGTTCAGCCACTGGCAGTATTAACAAGCACAGTCTTTCTGGAAAGGAACTTAACCCATTTTCATTAAGTGGCTTAAAATTGTACACACACGCCTGACACTGTAATTCCACTTCCAGAACTATACACTAGAAAATGAATATGAAATGGAACAAAACTTAATGCTCAAAGACATTCCATGATGGTGCTATAAATAGGGCACACAAAAAAAAAAAACTGGAATGAAATGTATCCAATAAAAGGTAATGATCAAATCATTACAGGTTTATAAATAATATTTTATATAGCCATTAAAACTGTGTCACACAAGAATTTAAAAAAAAATAGCCTTTGCATGGTCCAGACACTACACTAAGGTTTTTAGGAGCCTTATATATTAACCCCCTTAATCTTTATACCAAATCAGGGAGGTAGGTGCCATTACTATCACCTTACAAAGAAGAAAACTAAGAGTTGAGGCAGTTGGTCAAGGTCATCCTGCTAGTAAGAGCCAGTGCAGGGACACAGCTCACAGTCTGGCCCCAAAGTCCAATCTTTAACCCTGCTGGAGAGTGTTAAGACAGCTAGCTGGGTATTAGCCTACGTGTGCAAGAGGAGCCAAAGGAAAAAGAAAGTGGGAATTGCTTAGGAAATAAATGCAAGTGCAATGGACAGCCCGGAAAGGTGAGTGGCCAGCACACCTGCAGGCACTGCTCTCCTTCTCTAACCCTCTTAGGGCTCAGCCCTTCCCTTGGGGGTATCTCAGGGGAATTCACCCTGTCTCACAACACTGGGCTGATTAAGCTTCTGGGGGGGATGTCTCTGGAATTCCACCTCCAGAAATCCACCGCCACCCTTCTGATTCAAGATTTCCCACAGGAGAGAGAGAAGGAGAAGAGAAATAACGGACCCACGCTCCTGTTGATAAAAACTCCAGTCTGACTGGAGTCAGCTTTCCTGAGACACAAATTGGCCTACCAGGTATACCCTCTTCATTGTTTGTTCATTACACGTTGCTACCCCTGACCACTAGGCCTCACATCTGAATCCTTGCTTGTGTGAAGAACCCCTGAGAACCCAGTCTTTGACAACAGGAGACAGAAAAAAGGCCCAAAGACATCAGCACCTACCCCCTGGAACCTGTACAAAGGGTCTTTGCACACGTGACTAAGAATCTAAGGTAGAGAGGCATCCTTGGTTATCCAATGGGGCCTCAATGCCATCACAAGCGTCCCTGCAAGAGGAAGGGAGGCGTTCACAAAAGCATGTACCTACAGACACACGCACCCCCAAGAATGGCACGTGTAGACAAGGCAGATGGGACCCTATGCCAACAAATGCCTGCAGCCAGCAGAAGCTGGGAAGGCAAGAAGGAATTCTCTCCTAGCACCCTCAAGGGAGCACAGGCCTGCCCCTTAGCTTGATTTGGGACACTGAAACCTCCAGAATTGCGGAAGAACTAATTTCTACTGCGTTAAGCCATAAGTTTGAGGAACTGTGTTATGGCCACCACCAGAAACGAACACAACACATGCTGTGCTGCTCTCAATGCAAGAGAAAATATTCATATGCTGAATGAAAAAAGCAGAAATCAAAATTTAGACACAATGATCTTAATTATGCATACAAAAATGTGCAAATACAACAAAATATTTGCAATAATTATCTCTGAATTGAAGAACTATGGGTAATTTTCAGCATTATGCCTTTTGGCATTTTTCCAAATTTCTATAATTATGTGAATTAAAAGAAAGCTTTTTTTTAATTAGCAATTCATATTTCTGCAACTCTAACTCAATCACAAAGATTAGGAATCAGAATATCCAAAACTCCCTGATAATTTCTTAATGTAATCTCAAAACAACATTAGAAAAATCAGCAACTGGAATTCACACCATTCTCTAGGGAATTTCACTGCGGTTTCCAGGCTCTGGGAGCAGCGTGGCGTGGCTGGCGTGGCTGAAGTTCCACACCTTTCTTTTCAGATGTCGGCATACGAGAGGTTGGTACGTATTCCCAGAGCTCACCCAGCCCAGTCTGGCCACATGCTAGATGTAGCCACTAAAAACCACATAAATGGCTGACATCCCTGCAGGGGACTTCACA